TTTCCCATAGCTTCATTGTGTGGCTCATCAACTTTATACCTCTGTAGTTGCTACAACTCTGCACATCACCCTTGTTCTTAAAGATCGGCACTAGTACACTTCTTGTCCATTCCTCAGGCATCTTCTCACTCTCTAAAATCCTGTTGAACAAACTAGATAGAAACTCCACTGCTGTCTCTCCTAGACACTTCCACACCTCTACAGGTATGTCATCTGGACCAACAGCCTTTCCACTCTTCATTCTCCTCAGAGCCTTCCTCACCTCATCCTTTCTAATCTTTGCTACTTCCTGCTCTACAATATTCACCTCTTCCCCCCTTCTTTCCCTCTCATTTTCCTCATTCATCAGTTCCTCAAAATACTCCTTCCATCTTCTCTGTACACTCTCCTCACGAAATTGTCCGACTACAACATCGAAAAGCACAGCACCATCTACTTGTGTCTCCGCCTGAGAGGAGGCTGTGGACACTCTCACATTGTACTGTTTTGACAATACAACTGTCAGTATGTGTTCTATATGGGTGTTATAAATCTGTTGTTATAAATAACCCACGTTTGCATCTTGTCACACTTTTCAGTCATACTCGAATCCGTACATCAGATTGTTTCAAATTACATCAAATGAAAGAAGGAAATCTGTTGCATAATTTGTACTCATTACATTTTCATATCTTACTCCTGAACAGAGTTACAGGCAGTTCAATGGTTCCAGTGCACTTGTGACAATTTGCCATATAGTGTTTGTCACATATGTATATGACTGTTTGTCATCTCTTCAGTGGATATTTAGGTCACATGCTTCATGTAAGTCATTCATTTACATTTTGTTTTATTCTTTTTTTTTATTTTGATAAAGCCAAATTAAAAATGCACATAAAACTGGAAATTCACCTGATCATTAAATGACAGATGCCAAGGCTCAGAAATGAGCAGAAGTAACTGATAAAGGTTAGGGTGAGGTTCAAATTAAGAAATAGGGAAACACACATGGGTATGCAAGCTTCACTTTAAGTTTCAATTTAACCTGTGGTTAAATTGCTTTTTATGTTTTGTGTGTTTTATTTATAATTTTATCAAAGTTATTAGTGAGTAGGACATTCAATGAAATGGCAATAGCCTATCCTAGTATTTGTTTATTCTGCTTTTTAAACATCTTTTAAAATTATAAATGGATCAAAACAGTCGTTTGTCAGCCACAGTATCGAGGTGTTCCTAATAAACGACAAGGACACGACAAACACGTATAAAGTCCGACCCGACGAGACTGTGAGCAACTTCAAGCGCAGGGTGGAGAGCAGGGAGGGGGTGCCGGTGAGCCAGCAGATGCTCCTCTATCAGAGCCGGGAGCTGAATGGCGGGAAATTGTCCGACTACAACATCGAAAAGCACAGCACCATCTACTTGTGTCTCCGCCTGAGAGGAGGCTGTGGACACTCTCACATTGTACTGTTTTGACAATACAACTGTCAGTATGTGTTCTATATGGGTGTTATAAATCTGTTGTTATAAATAACCCACGTTTGCATCTTGTCACACTTTTCAGTCATACTCGAATCCGTACATCAGATTGTTTCAAATTACATCAAATGAAAGAAGGAAATCTGTTGCATAATTTGTACTCATTACATTTTCATATCTTACTCCTGAACAGAGTTACAGGCAGTTCAATGGTTCCAGTGCACTTGTGACAATTTGCCATATAGTGTTTGTCACATATGTATATGACTGTTTGTCATCTCTTCAGTGGATATTTAGGTCACATGCTTCATGTAAGTCATTCATTTACATTTTGTTTTATTCTTTTTTTTATTTTGATAAAGCCAAATTAAAAATGCACATAAAACTGGAAATTCACCTGATCATTAAATGACAGATGCCAAGGCTCAGAAATGAGCAGAAGTAACTGATAAAGGTTAGGGTGAGGTTCAAATTAAGATAAAGGGAAACACACATGGGTATGCAAGCTTCACTTTAAGTTTCAATTTAACCTGTGGTTAAATTGCTTTTTATGTTTTGTGTGTTTTATTTATAATTTTATCAAAGTTATTAGTGAGTAGGACATTCAGTGAAATGGCAATAGCCTATCCTAGTATTTGTTTATTCTGCTTTTTAAACATCTTTTAAAATTATAAATGGATCAAAACAGTCGTTTGTCAGCCACAGTTCATAATGAAATGATTTAGCCTTGCCTTATTAAAGCTGATGTGACCTTACATAATCATGAAAAAGTCCCCTGTCAACTTGCAATTGTTTGGAACCGACATGAAACAGCTGTTTATTACTCACCTGTTTGTTAAACCTGAATTATTAGGTGGTAAATTCATAAACATGCCACAGGGCAAAGTTACTAATGAATAAAACATGCTCTCATTAGCAGAGTCACGTTAAAGTTATTAAAGTAGGGAAGGGAAAACGAATCTGAAGTAAAGAGAAGGGTGTGACCAGCTATCTGTGTGTGAGTGGAACAACGCTCAGAGGTTGGTTTATGGAGGGAAGGATGTAACTGGCGGACAACATCAGAAAACAGTTTTAGAGGGTCTGTTCAGTTTAAAATAAAGTTAATACACATCCTTTTATTACAAATTAATCAAAACCAGACAGCTTGTTTTCTTGTTTATATATTTTATTGTTATGTTCTAAATGCTTATCTTAAATCGACCAATGTCACGTAATTCTGTTAAAAACGTTTGGTTTGGCTTTTTGCAAGGCACTGCTATAATTTACAATTGACAGTAACAACATGGTATATTTATACTAACTGGGTACTATATTTCCTGTGCTATGTCTTAGAGCTGTATCCTCCACAGACCAAAATGACACTTGGTACTTCATATTTAAAACTGGGACAGCCTCAGTCACATAATTCAGGTTTTACCACATCAAGATGTTGGCAGTGTTCTAGGGGGGACCAGGGCATTCTTGTCACACTTTTCAGTCATACTCGAATCCGTACATCAGATTGTTTCAAATGACACCAAATGAAAAAAGTCTCTGTTACATAATTTGTACTCATTACATTTTCATATCTTACTTCTGAACAGAGTTACAGGCAGTTCAACGGTTCCAGTGCACTTGTGACAATTTGCCATATAGTGCTTGTCACATATGTGGGATAAGATGTCACACTGGAAACTGCAACACCTGCAATGTTTCAAACACAATTTTAGTAAAGCCTTAAAACGTTGTTGTTGAACTTAAAACCTGCCCTAACTGCAATTATTTGAAGATAACTTTAAACAAACTTTCAAATAGGCTAAATCGCTTAAAAATGTCACTTGTGACAGCTTGCCCCATGCTGCCATTTTTGCTAAGCCTTGCTAATTCTTATGGCTCAGTTAGCACAGGAAATCAGAAAAATATATCAAGACACTACAGTTTCTCCTCTTCAAAGTGAAAAGATATTGCCTTGAACATTCTTTATTAAAAGAAGAAAACTACATAAAATGTCATGTCAAACTGTGAAAACCA